TAAATTGTGTAGGGCAGCAAGGAGAGATGTGGATAAGGGAGAGAATCTAAATGCCATTAAATTATATTGTACAAAATTGTTTTTAAAAATCAATAAAAAATAAAAAAAGGAAGTTAAAAATCTAAAAAGCTCCAGACACATCCTAAGTTACTCAAGAAACTGAAATTGAATTTCAAACAAAACTCTCACTTATCTCTGATACCAATTGGTCTGTGAGTTCCTTGAGGGTAGGGACAACAGTCTTTCCTATTCCTCATACCCAACCTAACACAGCCCTTTACAGACGTTCTACAAGTTTTTATTGAGTGACTACCCCCTCTGCATTCTGTGGTAGGTGCCAAGGACATGTCTTAAACAGAGCAAGTGTGGCCCCTGCCCTCCTGTGGCTCACAGTCCAGTGAGGGAGATGAAAGTTAAATAGTGCTGTGGATAACTGAAAAACGTAAATGAATTTGCTAATTAGTTCATGATAATCTTCTTGGGTTTTTTTTGTTCATAATGACCCAGACAATGTCAAGGGCACAAATGGAAGAAAATCTGTGGCTGCTTCGGGTAATTATCTTCAAACCTAGGGACTCAGGCTGATGGGCTGACCCTCATTAAGTGGGAGATCTCTTCCGAGAACAGTCCCTTGAGACCCATCAGGCCAGCCCAGGCAATCCTTTGATCTGTCCTCATAGTCCCTTCCATCCCACTGGCAAAACAAAAACCTTCTGGTTCCTGGCCTGGCAGCTTTACATCCAAGCTGTCTGAAATGCGATTTTTTTTTTTTTTTTTTTCATAAAGAGCAATCGGGATTTTAATTAAAGTTCCAGGGACCCAGCCAAGGATATTTTTCTAAAAGAAGTAATATCTGTTTTCAGAGATAGATCATTTCATAACAGAGATTTCATCTACTGTGATGAATGACAAATAATGGTACTGACTGTGCCCTTTCTGTGTACGCGCGCGCGTGTATGTGTGTGTGTGTGTGTGTGTGTGTGTGTACTTGTGCACATGCGCACACATGCACGTGATCCTATGTGTGTTCAATGCTTATCCTGCCTAATGAGGACAGAGACAGGGAGACAAATGCACTCCACTTACTTAAACCATTCAGATGTTTAAGGCAGACAGTTAATGGAACAGCATAAGGGCCTTTCTCTTAAGGGCAGGAGATTAGCTTTTGTTCTCCCTGATGATTCTCTTTGATTTAAAAGGCTTTGGTTACCAGGTTCTCAGAAAACAACATTAGATAAGAATTCAACTTCTGCAAATGCTGGTCGGCAGATGTCTGCCACGCACCTAATCCATAGAGTGACCATGTGGGATACTGAATTACACGCCGTGCATACTCAATGG